CAAAATCAGCTGGAATTCCCTGATCCATGTCCCCAAATCGTCCGGAATTCCCTGCCCTGTGGAAGTGGGATCCATGGAATTCCCGGCCCTGGGGAAGCGGGATCCAAGGAATCCCCCGAATCAGTTGGAATTCCCAGGCCTTTGGAAGCGGGATCCATGGAATTCCAGGCCCTGGGGAATTGGGATCCATGTCCCCAAAACCAGTCGGAATTCCCTGAGCCATGTCTCGAAATTAGCTGGAATTCCCTGACCTGTGTAACTTGGATCCATGGAATTGGGATCCACGGAATTCCCGGCCCTGGGGAATTGGGATCCACATCCCCAAATTGGCTGGAATTCCCTGCCCTGTGGAATTGGGATCCATGTCCCCAAAATCAGCTGGAATTCCCTGATCCATGTCCCCAAATCGTCCGGAATTCCCTGCCCTAGGGAAGTGGGATCCATGGAATTCCCGGCCCTGGGGAAGCGGGATCCATGGAATTCCCCAAATCAGTCGGAATTCCCAGCCCTTTGGAAGCGGGATCCATGGAATTCCAGGCCCTGGGGAATTGGGATCCGTGTCCCCAAAACCAGTCGGAATTCCCTGAGCCATGTCTCGAAATTAGCTGGAATTCCCCGACCTGTGTAACTTGGATCCATGGAATTGGGATCCACGGAATTCCCGGCCCTGGGGAATTGGGATCCACATCCCCAAATTGGCTGGAATTCCCTGCCCTGTGGAATTGGGATCCATGTCCCCAAAATCAGCTGGAATTCCCTGATCCATGTCCCCAAATCGTCCGGAATTCCCTGCCCTAGGGAAGTGGGATCCATGGAATTCCCGGCCCTGGGGAAGCGGGATCCAAGGAATTCCCCAAATCAGTCGGAATTCCCAGCCCTTTGGAAGCGGGATCCATGGAATTCCCGGCCCTGGGGAAGCGGGATCCAAGAATTCCCCAAATCATCCAGAATTCCCTGTGGAATTGGAATCCATGTCCTCAAATTGGCTGGAATTCCCTGCCCTGTGGAATTGGGATCCACGTCCCCAAATCCCGCTGGAATTCCCTGCCCTGTGTAACTTGGATCCATGGAATTCCCTGCCTTGTGGAATTGGGATCCATGGAATTCCCTGCCCTGTGGAATTGGGATCCATGGAATTGGGATCCATGGAATTCCCAGCCCTGGGGAATTGGGATCCATGGAATTGGGATCCATGGAATTCCTTTCCCTGTGGAATTGGAATCCATGGAATTGGGATCCACGGAATTCCCATCCCTGGGGAAGCGGGATCCAAGAATTCCCCAAATCATCCAGAATTCCCTGTGGAATTGGGATCCATGTCCTCAAACACGCTGGAATTCCCTGCCCTGTGGAATTGGGATCCATGGAATTCCCTGCCCTGGGGAAGTGGGATCCATGGAATTCCCAGCCCTGGGGAAGTGGGATCCATGGAATTGGGATCCATGGAATTCCCTGCCCTGGGGAATTGGGATCCATGTCCCCAAAATCAGCTGGAATTCCATGATCCACGTCCTCAAATCGTCTGGAATTCCCTGCCCTGTGGAAGTGGGATCCATGGAATTCCCGGCCCTGGGGAAGTGGGATCCATGGAATTGGGATCCATGGAATTCCCAGCCCTGGGGAATTGGGATCCATGGAATTGGGATCCATGGAATTCCCATCCCTGGGGAAGCAGGATCCACATCCCCAAAACCAGCCGGAATTCCCTGCCCTGTGGAATTAGGAGCCATGGAATTCCCGATCCCAATCCCACCTCATCCTGCTCCTCATCTCCTCGTGCTCCCAGAATTCCCAATCTCAATCCCAGAATTCCCAGAATTCCCAATCCCACCTCATCCTGCTCCTCATCTCCTCCTGCTGCCCCTTGAGCCGATCACAGAATTCCCAGAATTCCCAATCCCACCTCATCCTGCTCCTTGTCTCCTCGTGCTCCCAGAATTCTCCATCCCAATCCCAGAATTCCCAGAATTCCCAATCCCACCTCATCCTGCTCCTCATCTCCTCCTACTCCCAGAATTCCCAATCCCAGAATTCCCAATCCCAATCCCACCTCATCCTGCTCCTCATCTCCTTGTGCTCCTAGAATTCCCAATCCCAATCTCAATCCCAGAATTCCCAATCTCAATCCCAGAATTCCCAATCCCAATCCCACCTCATTCCGCTCCTGGTCTCCTCCTGCCACCCCTTGAGCCACTCCCGGAATTCGCAGAATTCCCAGAATTCCCAATCCCACCTCATCCTGCTCCTCATCTCCTCGTGCTCCCAGAATTCCCAATCCCAATCCCAGAATTCCCAGAATTCCCAATCTCACCCCATCCTGCTCCTCATCTCCTCGTACTCCCAGAATTCCCAGAATTCCCAATCCCACCTCATCCTGCTCCTCATCTCCTCGTACTCCCAGAATTCCCAATCCCACCTCATCCTGCTCCTCATCTCCTCATACTCCCAGAATTCCCCATCCCAATCCCAGAATTCCCAGAATTCCCAATCCCACCTCATCCTGCTCCTCATCTCCTCCTGCTGCCCCTTGATCCACTCCCAGAATTCCCAGAATTCCCAGAATTCCCAATCCCACCTCATCCTGCTCCTGGTCTCCTCCTGCTGCCCCTTGAGCCGATCCCGGAATTTTCAATCCCAGAATTCCCAATCCCACCTCATCCTGCTCCTCATCTCCTCATACTCCCAGAATTCCCAATCCCAATCCCAGAATTCCCAGAATTCCCAATCCCACCTCATCCTGCTCCTCATCTCCTCGTGCTCCCAGAATTCCCCATCCCAATCCCAGAATTCCCAGAATTCCCAATCTCACCCCATCCTGCTCCTCATCTCCTCGTACTCCCAGAATTCCCAGAATTCCCAATCCCACCTCATCCTGCTCCTCATCTCCTTGTGCTCCTAGAATTCCCAATCCCAATCTCAATCCCAGAATTCCCAATCTCAATCCCAGAATTCCCAATCCCAATCCCACCTCATTCCGCTCCTGGTCTCCTCCTGCCGCCCCTTGAGCCACTCCCGGAATTCCCAGAATTCCCAATCCCACCTCATCCTGCTCCTCATCTCCTCATACTCCCAGAATTCCCAATCCCAATCCCAGAATTCCCAGAATTCCCAATCCCACCTCATCCTACTCCTCATCTCCTCGTGCTCCCAGAATTCCCAATCCCAATCCCAGAATTCCCAGAATTCCCAGAATTCCCAATCCCACCTCATCCTGCTCCTCATCTCCTCGTGCTCCCAGAATTCCCCATCCCAATCCCAGAATTCCCAATCCCACCTCATCCTGCTCCTCATCTCCTCATGCTCCCAGAATTCCCAGAATTCCTAATCCCACCTCATCCTGCTCCTCATCTCCTCGTACTCCCAGAATTCCCAATCTCAGAATTCCCAGAATTCCTGATCCCAATCCCACCTCATCCTGCTCCTTGTCTCCTCCTGCTGCCCCTTAAGCCACTCCCGGAATTCCCAGAATTCCCAGAATTCCCAATCCCACCTCATCCTGCTCCTGGTCTCCTCCTGCCGCCCCTTGATCCACTCCCAGAATTCCCAGAATTCCCAATCCCACCTCATCCTGCTCCTCATCTCCTCATACTCCCAGAATTCCCCATCCCAGAATTCCCAGAATTCCTGATCTCAATCCCACCTCATCCTGTTCCTCATCTCCTCCTGCCGCCCCTTGACCCACTCCCAGAATTCCCAGAATTCCCAATCCCACCTCATCCTGCTCCTTGTCTCCTCGTGCTCCCAGAATTCTCCATCCAAATCCCAGAATTCCCAGAATTCCCAATCCCACCTCATCCTGCTCCTCATCTCCTCGTACTCCCAGAATTCCCCATCCCAATCCCAGAATTCCCAGAATTCCCAATCCCACCTCATCCTACTCCTGGTCTCCTCCTGTTGCCCCTTGATCCACTCCCGGAATTCCCAGAATTCCCAGAATTCCCACCTCATCCTGCTCCTGGTCTCCTCCTGCTGCCCCTTGAGCCTTTCCCGGTCGCATTCCAAGCTCTGCTTCTCCTCCCGGAATTTCCTCTCCTGCTTTTCCAGCCGGGAATTCAAGTTACTCAGCGCCCCCTGGAGCCTGTCCAAGGATTAAAAAATTTGGGAACACGCCGGGAATGAGCGAGAATAAGGAATTTTTCCCTCTGGGAATGGGATTTACCGGGTGATCCGTCTTTTCTGGAAGGATCGGAGCGTGGAATTTTCCAGGTCCTGCTGCCGGAGAACTTCCAGGTTGTATTCCAGCTTCACCTTGTTCAGGTGGAAGATCCCTTTCATCTCCTGCAGCTTCCGCTCCAGGTACTGCAATTCCAAAGGGGAAAAAATTCCCAGAAAAAAAAAACATGGAAGAAATGGGAATTCCCACCCCCACGGGAGCGGATTCCCGAAAAATGGCGGCGGGAAAAAGCGGGAAAGGGAAAAGGGAAAAATCCACTCGGGGAAAAAAAAAATGTCAGGGAATTTCTGGCCAATTCCAGGCTTGGAATTCCAGCCCTAAATCTAAATTCCAATCCCAATTTTCCTGGGAAAACTCGGCTCAAAATTCCAACCCCAAATCTAAATTCCAATCCCAATTTTCCTAGGAAAACTCGGCTCAAAATTCCAGCCCTAAATCCGAGTCCCAGGTCAAGTTTTCCTGGGAAAACTCCCAATAACCCCCAAGGAATTTCTGGACACTTCCAGGCTCTCCCATCTTGGAATTCCAACCCCAAATCTAAATTCCAATCCCAATTTTTCCTGGGAAAACTCCCAATAACCCACAAGGAATTCCTGGCCAATTCCAGGCTTGGAATTCCAGCCTTAAATCTCAGTTCCAATCCCAATTTTCCTGGGAAAACTCGGCTCAAAATTCCAGCCCTAAATCTGAGTTCCAGGTCAATTTTTCCTGGGAAAACTCCCAAATAACCCCCAAGGAATTCCTGGGGAATTCCAGGCTCTCCCACCTTGGAATTCCAGCCCTAAACCCGAGTTCCAATCCCAATTTTCCCTGGGAAAGCTCATCCCTGTATTTTCCCGCATCTACGGCGGACTCAGGGAATTCCTTCTGCTCCATCCCGTGGAATTCTGAGCGTTCCTGCACCTCTCACATTTTTTTGGGAAGGAATAATTCCCGATTTCCAAGGGAAACCTTCCCTGGAACAACCCGAGGGGTCGTTCTGGAATATCTGCCCCGTTCCCAAGGACGTTCCCAAAGCTGGACGAGGAGCCAGGGAATGGATCCCACTGGGAAAGGGGAGATTTGGGGGGGAGATTGGGAAGGGATTCCTGGCTGGGAGGGGGGGGAGGGGCTGGGCTGGAATTCCCAGAGAAGCTGTGGCTGCCCCTGGATCCCTGGCAGTGTCCGAGGCCGGGTTGGATTCCCTGGGATAGCGGGAGGTGTCCCTGAACATGGAATGGGATGGGATTTAAGGCTCCTTCCCATCCAAGCCATTCCAGGATTCCAGGATAAAGGACACTCAGAATCCACTCAGAGGGATTTTTCTGGAATGTGGGGATGGAAAAGGCAGGAAAGGGGGAGGGAGACCCTGCCCTGAGTGCCGAGATTCCCAGGGAACCCCCTTGTTCCCGGAACTCCTTCCCAGGGAGGAGCTGGGCTGGGGCTGGATCCAATGGCAGGCTCTGGCTCCAGGCTGGGAGAGCTGGGAATGGCCAGGCTGGATTTGGGAAGGATCCCGGGAGAGCTTGGAGCACATTCCAGAGGCTGAAGGGGCTCCAGGAGAGCTGGAGAGGGCCTGGGGATCAGGGCCTGGAATGCCAGGCCCCAGGGAATGGATCCCAGTGGGAAAGGGGAGATTTGGGGGGGAGATTGGGAAGGGATTCCTGGCTGGGAGGGGGGGGAGGGGCTGGGCTGGAATTCCCAGAGAAGCTGTGGCTGCCCCTGGATCCCTGGCAGTGTCCGAGGCCGGGTTGGATTCCCTGGGATAGCGGGAGGTGTCCCTGAACATGGAATGGGATGGGATTTAAGGCTCCTTCCCATCCAAGCCATTCCAGGATTCCAGGATAAAGGACACTCAGAATCCACTCAGAGGGATTTTTCTGGAATGTGGGGATGGAAAAGGCAGGAAAGGGGAAGGGAGACCCTGCCCTGAGTGCCGAGATTCCCAGGGAACCCCCTTGTTCCCGGAACTCCTTCCCAGGGAGGAGCTGGGCTGGGGCTGGATCCAATGGCAGGCTCTGGCTCCAGGCTGGGAGAGCTGGGAATGGCCAGGCTGGAGAAGGGAAGGATCCCGGGAGAGCTTGGAGCACATTCCAGAGGCTGAAGGGGCTCCAGGAGAGCTGGAGAGGGCCTGGGGCTCAGGGCCTGGAATGCCAGGCCCCAGGGAATGGATCCCAGTGGGAAAGAGGAGATTTGGGGGGGAGATTGGGAAGGGATTCCCGGCTGGGAGGGTGAGGAGGGGCTGGGCTGGAATTCCCAGAGAAGCTGGGGCTGCCCCTGGATCCCTGGCAGTGTCCCAGGCCGGGTTGGATCCCCTGGGATAGCGGGAGGTGTCCCTGAACATGGAATGGGATGGGATTTAAGGCTCCTTCCCAGCCAAACCATTCCGGGATCCCAGGAAACAATCCCGGCAGTGATTCCCGATCCCAATCCCGGCGGGACCTGAACGTCCTTTTCCAGCTGGAGCTTCATCCGGTCGTAGTTGGCCACGTCCTGATCCTGCAGCTCTTCCAGGTGCCGCTCGAACTCCTCCGCCCGCTCCATCCGGCCCCGCAGGAATTCCAGCTGTTGGGATACGGATGGAGCAGGTGGGAAGGGGCTGCAGAACTGGGAATGGCCGAGGGAGCTGGGAAGGGGCTGGAAAACTGGGAATGGGTGAGGGAGCTGGGAAGGGGCTGGAAATCTGGGAATAAGGAAGCTGGGAAGGGGCTGGAGCAGCAGGAATGGCAGAGGGAGCTGGGAAGGGGCTGGAAAACCAGGATAAGGGAGCTGGGAAGGGGCTGGAAATCTGGGAATGGCTGAGGGAGCTGGGAAGGGGTTGGAAAAGCAGGAATGGCTGAGGGAGTTGGGAAGGGGCTGGAAAACCTGGAATATCTGAGGGAGCTGGGAAGGGGCTGGAAAACTGGGAATGGCTGAGGGAGCTGAGAAGGGGCTGGAAATCTGGGAATGGCTGAGGGAGCTGGGAAGGGGTTGGAAAAGCAGGAATATCTGAGGGAGCTGGGAAGGGGCTGGAGAAGAGGGAATGGCTGAGGGAGCTGGGAAGGGGTTGGAAAAGCAGGAATGGTTGAGGGAGTTGGGAAGGGGCTGGAGAACCGGGAATATCTGAGGGAGCTGGGAAGGGGCTCATCCCGGAGAAAAGAGGGATCAGAAGGGACCTTTTCCCACTCCAGAATTCCCTGACAGGAAGGGGGAGCCGGGGGGGGTCCCCAATTCCCAGGGACCGAGGGACAGGAGGAGAGGGAACGGCCTCCAGCTGGGCCAGGGATATTGGGATATCAGGTGGGATATTGGGAACAATTCCCGCATGGAAAGGGCTGTCAGGCCCTGGAAGTGCCGGAATCCCCATTCCCGGCGGGATTTCGGATCCCTGTGGATGTGGCCCCTGGGGACACGGATCCGGGGTGGCCTCGGATGGTTGGACTTTGTTGCCTCCAAGGGTTTTTCCCCCCGGGACCCCCCCGGCATTCCATGATTTTTTCCCCCCTCAGGAATGTTACGTGCTGCTCGTTCTGGGCCCGGATGGTCTCATCCCACTTTTTCCGGCGGTTTTCCAGCATTTCCCGGCGCTCCTGCTCGAAGGTTTCCTGCGGGAAGGAGCAGAGCCCGGGATTCCCAGGGAATATCCAAGGATCCGGCATTCCCACCGGCATTCCCAGCCTTCCAGATCCCTGGATTTCACCCTCGTTCCCTCCCCCTCTGGAGATCGTCCCAAGCCACGATCCCGAGGGTGTTTTTCCCCCAAAAAAGGGATCCTTTCCCACAAAAAAAGGGATTCATTCCCACAAAAAAGGATCTTTTCCCAGAAAAAAGGGATCATTTCCCAAAAAAGGGGTTTTTTTCCCAGAAAAAGGGGATCATTTCACAAAAAAGGGATATTTTTCCTACAAAAAAAGGGATATTTTTTCCACAAAAAAGGGATTTTTTTCCCACAAAAAAGGGATTTTTTTCCACAAAAAAAGGGATTTTTTCCCACA